TGGTGTCTTAGAAGAATACCTTCATTTAAATCACATGGAGGAAATAAGCCTTCTATTTGCCGCATCACGCAGTAGTAAAGCCAGACAAAAAAACAACAAAAGTAAGAGTTGTTTTTAGTGCCTCAAAAACCACCAGTTCAGGGAATTCCCTAAATGATATTTTATTTACGGGGCCCACACTCCAACCAGATTTAATGCTTTTGATATTAAACTGGCGTATTTTCAAATACGTATTCAATGGGGACGTTGGAAAAATGTATCGGCAAATAGTCGTACATAAAGACGACCAAGATTTTCAACGTRTTATGTTCCGAAAATCCCCCACCAGTCCTTTACGCGACTTCAAACTAAAACAGTTACATTTGGCGTTAACTGTGCTCCATATCTAGCCATTCGAACACTCCACGAATTGGCAGACAACACAAAGTCAGAATTTCCTCTGGCAACTGAAGTGTTGAAAACTCAAACGTATGTAGACGATATTCTGTCTGGGAGCCACAGCCTCTCACAAGCATACGAGTCCTTATCACAAGTGGCAAAGGCCCTCAATACCGCAGGGTTTCCCCTAAAAAAGATTACGGCAAATCACCCAAATATATTAAAAGACATTCCAAAAGAAAATTTGTTGGATACTAATTTCCTCATATTCGAAGAGGAAAGTACAACAAAGACACCAGGCATCCAATGGAATGCGATATCGGACCAGTTCTCATACACGACTGAGTCCATGTCCGCATTATCAGCCATAACGAAAAGACAGATTTTATCCTCGGTGGCAAAACTTTTCGACCCCGCATTATGGCTTTCGCCAATTATGATCCAAGCGAAATTGAACAAGAATTATGGCTAGATGGAACTGACTGGGATGAACAAGTGAAACCTCTTCGCTTAGAAAAATGGTCCCAGTTCGCAAACAATCTGAATGAGATTTCTCAGATTCAAATTCCGCGATGGGTAAACTATTCCCCCGAACACAAAATCGAATTACATGGTTTCTGTGACGCCTCAGAAAAGGCATACTGCGCTACTATCTATGTGCGCACGCAAAGTGATATCACAACCACAAGCCACTTATTAGTAGCAAAAGCAAAAATGGCACCTTTAAAAACTATAAGCTCTAGAAGGGCGAAAAATCGCCACCTTTCACACATTATTGGATAATATGGACATCCTTGAAAGATTTTCATCGTTTTCAAGAGCTCTCAGAGTAGTTGCTTATATGTTCAAATTTATAAGACAGCTCAAAAGCAAAGTCAAGGGATCACATAATTTCCCATGCAACACAGTGACGCACCTAGAGTTACAAAAAGCAAAGGTCGCWCTAATCGCATATACACAAGCGCGCTACTTCAGCCTCGATATATCACTACTAAGAGAATCGAAAGGTCTGCTTCGTGCCGATGGTTGGCTTGCAAATTCAAGCCTAACTTACAATGAACGCCACCCTATAATAATTCCCGAGAAGTCACCATTTGCCACATTATTCCTCAACTGCATCCACATCTTAATGCTACACGCCGAACATCGCCTCATGCAACATATGGTACGCCAAGAGTATTATATCCCYCGTCTTAAGCCGCAAATCAAGAAGTGCATCTTCACGTGCAAGATTTGTACTATGCACAAACAGAAGATGGGAACGCAGATTATGGCAGCACTTCCACCGGAACGCTGCAATTTCGCTCTACCTTTCACCACAACAGGTGTTGATTTTGCTGGGCCTTTCCAGGCGTTTATGTTAATGTCTCCCACTCTCATGAAAGGCTATGTGGCTGTCTTTGTATGTTTCACGACAAAGGCAGTACACCTTGAGCTATGTAGTAATCAGACGACGGAGGCTTTTCTCGCGGCATTTACTCGCTTCGTCGCTCGACGTGGCTACCCATCTAAAGTCATGAGTGATAATGGAAAAACTTTTATTGGAGCTCAACGAGCCACAGAAAAGCAATTTGTGGATTTCTTAAAACAAATGTCACCCGACATCGTAAAAAAGTACGCCCCTTAAGGTATCAATTGGCATTTTATACCCCCAAGCGGTCCTCATATGGGCGGCTTATGGGAATCAGCTGTAAAAAGCTTCAAATGCCATTTCAAACGGGTAGCTAGAAATTATAAGTTCAATTACGAAGAGTTCACGACGTTATTAAATCGAATTGAAGCCGTTCTCAATTCACAGCCACTCATAGTACTCTCGCAAGACCCCTCAGATTTCACTGCCTTAACTCCAAAGCATTTTCTAAAACAAGTACCCATCCTGGCCATTCCTGAGCCAGGCGTTGAGCCGCTATCTCTATTAAATCGATGGGAACGAATTAAAATTCTCCGTCATGATTTCAGCCGCCGACGGGACTCCTGAACAAGCAACTAAACTTGGAGACTGTGTCCTCATTCATGATGATTGTCTATCCCCTACCGAGTGGCGGCTTGGTCGCATAGAAAAGCTACATTATGGCTCGGCTACAAAAGCTACGGTCACATACGCGTCGTGGATCTCCGTACGCAAAACGGAACACTAACCAGACCGCTCGTGAAGCTATGATTTTACCAACCACCGACAACCGCGGATCTGAAAACCGCAAAAACGAAACCGATAAAATCGCGATATAATCAAATCACTAAATTTAGCACTAAAACGAGAAATACGCCAATAACAAATCGCTAAAACATAATGAACTGTCGAAAAATAACAAAGAAAACTAACAAAAACGGTCGTTAAATACGACGACCCATTCATGCCACACATCGTGGCACGATGGCCCATATCTCATTGTAGATAGATTAATAATCAAAAATCTTCTCTATACAGATTACTATGGATGTAGATACGCCAATTACAACCACGTCAACCGCTCGGGCAGCTACCAATGCGCACGTACCGGGCCTACACCAGCGCTCCGAACTATGGTTGCAACAGCACTGGCCGCTGCACCGGCAACCGCACCTGCAGCGGTACTTGCACCCGCACCTCGTGGTGGTCGAGGATCACCAATCACGGACGTCAGAGACCCTAAGGTGCCCCATCTGTCGACGCCCACATCGCCTGCACCATTGTGGGATATTTAGGGGTATGCGTCTCGTGCAACGGCAACAAGTTGCCCAGGCACACGGGCATTGCCACAATTGCCTGTCACATACACATATGACTCCTGAGTATGAGTCACGAGGGCTGTGCCAAATATGCCATAGGCCGCATCACACGCTGCTACATCGCAGCGCGGCACGCGAAGTGAATCGGCCACCCATCCCACGCGGCCGCATACCCCGATTCCAACCCGCAGCTCGTGGCGCACCCCAGCGAGGCGGAACCTCGTCGCGGCGTCGACAGCCTGGGCCACCATCTCGTCGATCTACAGGTATGAGCAGCGTTGTGACGACGACACATGACACTCGCCTAGGGGGGCCGGGACGGCTAAATGAGCATATGACCCCCTCCTAAAATAACAGCACTACACCCCACACATCCACGCCATCATCCTTTTCATCTTACACTACACACAGCACACTCAACGCATCATCTTTTCATCCCACACTACACACAACAACTCAACGCATCATCATCTACACCACACCTTTCACACCACAAATGAGGACACCAAACACAATCAACAAAAGAGACTGCCAGACGGCGCCCAGCCCCCTTTCGATTACGATCCGCGCGCATACACGCATCGAAAAAAAAAATTATTTTACGTTCGCTCCAACTGGAAACTAAGGTGAGTGCCGGTAACATTTTAATAAGCGTATCGAAAATTATATAAGCAGTTTTTCCAAAACTTTTGAAAGTATTGGCAGGAGAGATATGGGCCGATACGAAGTAATTTCATGCGCTGACTTACCAGGTTTATTGAACACAATCACGTCTGCAGTTTTCTAATATATACGTACTGAAGATTTATAGTAGCATTCATTATAGCAGTAATTTTACATACAGTATAACGTTGTGAGGAAGCTGTTTTAGTATTTCACTGGTAATAAGGTCAAACCCAGGCGATTTTTTAGACTTAAATTTTTTTATTTCTGCACATACCTCATCATTAGTTATTAGAGGAATTTCGGTCTTATTGATGATAATTTAAATATATCTTTCCCTGACGGAAATTAAAATATATGTATGTAAGTATAAGACTTATTTAATGTATGACCTGTAATAAGCTAAAAATGTACGAATTTGATTGTAATGTAATCACGATTTCGTCAAACAATGAATGTTGATTGCTTTGGAAACATTTTTATATCTTGCAACATGTTGCTACAGAGTACAATAGTTTTGTTTACCTAACGGTTGCACATATCAATAATGTACATATCTCGTAATCCACTTAAGCTGCAAGTTCTTTTATAACTAATATCACGATTACGGAACATATCTCTGACTTACACCACATGATTGATGTTTGTATGTGAGATAGTTGATAGATAAAATCAGGTCCATATTACCTCAACTCCCATATCCTATAAATGTATAATGATTTTCTAACAATCTATTTCTGCGAGTAATATTATAAACACATGTATTTATTTTTACAAGTAAATCGTATATTCTTACAGGTGAACCGTTTATTGTTACAAATGAATTGAATATGTTTACAAATGCGTTGTATAGGTTTACAAATTAATTGAATATGTTTAAAAATGAATTATATATGTTTTTTAAAAATTAATTGTATATTTTACATTT